CCAATCTCAACTCAGGCGCGATTTCATTTTTAAGCGAATTTGGATACGAATAAAAGAGAGTCGCGCCCCCACAATATAACGATCCACATTCCGCACGAATTTCAGTTTTTAATTGACGTACACCGCAACACGAGATTCACAATGATAACAAGGGAGATGATTCACTAGCTTGTTGTGAGTGAGCGCGAATGGATTCACGGGCAAGGAGGAATTTTTTATTTTCTCTGGTCGAGGTTTAAAATCTTCTCGCGCCCTACAAAATTACTTACATATGGACAAATGTCTACCAAACAGACCTACCCTGGTAAAAATTGGCGATAGGAGCTGCGTTTCAAAATACCATAGGAGTTCTTATAGCCGACTGACGAAGGCGATAGAAAATCATATAGCTGGCTGTAGAAAGTGGAATAAATCATACAGCCGGGCTACACGAAGCGATAAAAAATCATACAGCCGAGCTGTAGTTCCTTTTGCCGGGCTTTACACTTTATCGCCTGGCTGTTGCTTTTTCGCCATCGGCTATAAAAGGCAATAAGAAATTGTGTAGAAATTCGTGTGCTTCGTAAATCCTCAAGTTTGTGCGGAATCATCTTAATATTTACAAAACGCACATTATATTTTCCTTGACTACATATTTTTTTCATCAATTTAAATGAGAATAATCCATACAGAGTGTGCAAACATTTCAAAGTCATGAGTTGAAAAACGCTGATTCCTCGAGATTAAATATTAGAGCCTAACACAAAGCGGAGCGGCGGCGCACTGGCGCCTACAAACCTAACCTAGGGATACGCATTGGGCAATGCGTGAAGTATCCCTGTTAGGTTTGTAGGCGCCAATGCACGTTTCGCGCTGGCTGCCGGCTGCCCGCTCGCCGCGCCACGCCGCAGCGTACCACGGCGCTTGAAGCAAATATTTCACACCAGAGGTATTGCACAGTACCATACGAAATTGAAGGCGCTCCAACATATTAGGAATGGCAGGCATCCTTCATAAGTACGGAGCTTTCTTCGCAAAATAAAACAATACTACGGCCCAAAAAGAGAGCGGTAGTCCAAAAACTCACTAAGTCCTAGCATCCGTAATTAGTAACGTTTAGTATACACTTTATCGCCAGGCTGTTGCTTACTCGCCATCGGCTATAAAAGGCTATAAGAAATTGTGTTGCCGGCTATAGAAGCTATTGGAAATTTTACAGCCGACTGTAGGTCTATGGTATTTTGGAACACAGATTCTACTGCCAATTTTTACCAGGGTATGTGGAGGTGAGATTTTTGGGGTGTGCTCGTTAGTTCTCTGGCCGTAAGAGTGAATGAGAATAATAAAGCGCCAGTGACGTCAGCGGCAATGATAGTGCGCACTCGAGCGAGGGGGAGATCGTCGTCGGGGCGCTCTTACTCATGAGCCCTGTCCACAACGCTCTCGTGCCATGCCCGCGGCTCATGAACCCCGCATTCAGATGCCACATAGGTCTCTTTGATAGAATGTAATATCCCGCTTTTCCTATTCTTCAAAAGGAATCACGCCCACTTTTACATTGCTCCTTACGCAGCTTCAACGAGCACACCTCATATTTCTCACCTGCACGTAGGTCTGTTTGGTAGAAATACGTCCAAATGGATATTGTTAAGCAAACCAATCATACCTACATCGGGTGTTTTTAAAAAGAGTTCATAAGCCGGAGGAATATGTGTTTTTAAACGTATAATGCTAGGTTTGGGGCAATTTTCTACGATGGACCTAACTGAATAGAATGCAAAAATTTAAATAGACTGACTCATTGGCCGTCATTCGATACATTGCGATAAAATAACCGAAATCTAATCGACCCGTTCACGTTACGATCGATGAAAGTGCGGTAAAAATTAAGACTCCATATCAGAGGGGTGATTTTTTTATACTGAGATTACGTTTTTGTTTTCAATTGAACCAGCGCGAATACATCAATCTATCGAATGACATGGTCATTAAATCAGTCTGCAGCCTCGACGATGTCCTCGAGCAGACAGAAAGCAGTATAGCACTCTCTATTAAAATATCGGGTGTAGATTTTGCTTACAACTATTCTACAACGCTTACAACTATTCTATTCATGTTCGAGGGTTGTTCATGTTGCGTGTCGGAATAATTGAAGGCGTTGGCTGAGCTTCTTACAACAAGGCGCGTAACGATCAGAGGCGGATCCCGCAATTTGGCAACATCGGATTTTCTCCATTTAAACCTATGCTAAATAATCGATTCTTGCGGAGCAGCTGGCCCCTCCAAAAATCGATACATTTCCATGGGTTTAAAAGGAGGAAAGACAATGTTGCCAATTTTCTGGATCCACCCATGGTAACGATATGCAAGGATTTATTCTTCATCGGACAATGTAATACTTTGATTAGGAATTGCTCTTCGAAAGGGTCAACATTTTTCCTTTCCAAGGGTCCTTCGTGTAGAAAGCCGTGGAATTGAGCTATTGGCACTAGTATATGCGTAGAGAAATTGTTTGAAAAATTGTTTCGTATATAATTAACGCCTAAAAATGTCGGACTTAATCGAATCGAAACAATTGATGGTGAGATCATATTTCAATTTCGTTGGTAAATCCGGTGCATTGCCGAATGACATTTTGAGGATTTTTTTCAATCGCTGTCATGGTAAGACTCCTTTCTCTTGGAACAAATTGTTCATAACTCGTCCAAAAATTGCGATCACGGTTCTTGATGTTGAGTGGTAATTCGTGTGCGGAAGCTAAATGCAAGAATATTGTTCTACAGAAAGACGATGTCAGTGCACTTGTGTCGTTTTTCGACCAAAGTTCTCCAATCTATATGTACATAAACGCAAGCAAGGGAATGTTAATATTTTTTTTGCGAATTGTCTAGAGAAATCAGATTTCGATTCTTCGATGAAAAACTCTCTTCGAAGCCCTGGAGAATAGGTCACGATCGGTTTGGCTCATTTTTTTGCGAATAAAGGGTGCTTCTGAACCAAATTAATTATGAACTGAGCTCGCTAAAATGGTGATTGAGTTAACTGATTGGCTATCTTCGCGGCGAGCGTTAAGTCAACCCCGGCATCGGGGTCTTAGCACTTATCGAGTAATTCCTCACGCGTTTTCTCCAGCTTCGTCCACAAAAGCTACCGATCTTCAGGCGACTCGTGTAATATTGCGGTTACGTAAAATTATCTAGCATTAAAACACCAAGTGTTCCTGGTGCGCTGCTCTTCACCAGTGGCGTGGCGTGAATTGCGATTTATCGATTGTCATGCCCTTTAATCCTACGGTAAAGAATCGATTATTAAGGTGTTCGCTGCGAACACCCTGTCTATCGATACTTTTCCATAGGTGTAAATGACCGATCAATCGATATATCGCAAAGCACGCCACGCTACTGCTCTTCACTTCTCCGTGGAAGTATAGAAATGAGACACCGCGACTTCAAATCGGTTGATTGACTCGGCGGATAGCGAAATCGATACTCTGAACTCAGGTCTCATCCTCCTTTGTTATTATCGTTACAAAACTGAAGAGACGACAGAATCATCGTTGAACTCGGGAAAAATCTCGTGTCAACATTTGAATGTTGCTAAATACTCCTCTCTAAGGATGATCAATATTTTTAAAAAAAGTTGTTATTTTTTTTTTTTTACAATTTTCATATACAAATAAATTAGAATGAACTGGAGGTTCCGAAAAGTTCAAATAAGGAATGCATAAGTTTTTCAGACAATTTTCATTTATCAGAAAGAATTGGGTACCGTCGGGGTATTAACGCTATTCCAGGAATAACTTATTTTCTTAAAACAAGTTGTGAATATTTTTTTAGAATTTTCCAATACCTAAATTGTACTAGACGAATTTTGAAGGAAGCTCGATTTCGAAAATTTTGGCACTACGGAATACTACTTTTGGAATACTACCGTGCTAAGGAAAACCGTCGTATGAACCTTCAGTCGTTGCCAAAAGTTGGTTGATAAAATAGGAATTTTCTAGAAAACGTGAGAATATTTTTCTTCCAATTTTTCAGACAAAATTTGTTGGCAAGTGTAAAATATTCGAAAATTTCAATGAAAAATATTCACAACTTCCCAAAAAGAACACGCAAATCCTAACAGGAAATTTGGCAACATTCAAATGCTCACGCGGCGTTTTAACCGGGCCATCATAAAATATCGTTCAATGGAAAATATTCGTAACTTTTCTCAAAAATATATATATCCTGAGAGGTAATGGAGATGTTGCATGTGTGAGGAATTTGCAATTTGACTGTTGATTCATAAGTAAAAGTTCGCAAGAAACACGATGGTGCCACTGGTCTTCTCTGAAAACAACTCCCAAGCTCAAAAAAGCTCTCAAGTTGAGGCCAAAATGGAGAGGATATCCCACCCTACCCTGAGAGTCCACCTCAACATAAAGACAAACTCTCCATGCAAAGATAGGGAGCAAATACATTGACAGGGCTGCCACTTTATTTGGGGACTCTAAAAATGAAAATACAGCAACCCTGCTAATGTATTTGCTCCCTATCTTTGCATGGAGAGTTTGTCTTGATGTAGACGTGGACTCTCAGGGTAGGGTGGGATATCCCCTCAGTTTTGGCCTCAACTTGAGAGCTTTTTTTGAGCTTGGGAGTTGATTTCAGAGAAAACCAGTGGCACCATCGTGTTTCTCGCGAGCTTTTACGTAAGAATCAACAGTCAAATCGCAAATTCCTCACACATGCAACATCTCCATTTGGCATCACTTGAATACTCATACGGCGTTTTTTCATTAGCACGGCAGAATAGATGACCATATCGACTTGCAGCCTGAAATTTAGGTCCGGCAAGACCATGTCGAGGGTAGACGCGACGACGACGACGCATCTGACGGCGCGGCCGGCGTTCGGTCCAGCCCGGTCCCCGATGACGCGATCCGTGGCGTCGCGACGCCGCGCCGCGTGGAAAGTGGTCCCGGTTGGTCCCCGGATTCTGTAATAATTCCGGTCCCATGGCATCGCGGCGCATGCGGTCCTGACTCGGTGCTCACTGCTCAGTGCGCTCAGTGGGTGTTGCATGCTCAAAGGATTAAGACGCGACGCGCCCGTGCCCAGGATATAATACATGTTCTCGATACACTACATGTTCCGCGCCACCGAGTGTCAGTGATTTCAGTGACTTACACCAGTGACCCTTGACATCGCTCATAGCTCCGCAGCCGCCATCATGATTCTCTTCACAGTGAGTCCACTATCTTTTCTATCGAGCTTTTCTGCACTGAAAAAAATTCTCGGCGTTTTTACCAAGGTCCGTTGGTACCTTTACCATCTCACTTTTTTCCCAATTATTGGTAATTTTACCAAGACAGACTGGTAAGCTTACCTAAAACTCGGTATTTTTACTGTTTTTTTCAGGTAAGAATACCACTTTTATTGGTAATCCATTCCCGGTAACTTTGCCATTTTATCTCGGTAATTCTACTACAGTCGATAAAAAATATTGGCGTTACTACCAAGTTCTGGTAAAATTACCGAGAAAGTTCAATAATTTTACCGAGATTTCCAATTCCGTAAATGGTAATTTTACCAAGAAAAAACTGGGTTCAAATAGAACCCTGAATTCTTGGTAATTTTACCCTTTTCGTAGTAAATACACCGAGATTTTTTTTTCAGTGAGGTGGAAACTGTCTACCGACGGTGAAACTGTAAACATGTACAAACAGCGTATGTCTTTGAGGGAAAGTTGTGCCCATATGAGCTTTTCCCCTCTGTATTGAGATGTTTTGCCTATGCTGATTTTAAACGCACGTTGGCTAAAAAATTCCAATTTTCTGTAAAAATGTGTAGCTCGGTTGCAGTGTTTCACGATCTTCGCCGCTATTTTATTTTTGGAAAAAAGATCGAAACAACATCATGGCTTGAAATTTTCACAGGATGTTCTTCGCAAAAAGAGGGACGATCACCGGGGTTTTCAAGAAAAGACATCAGGTAGTTTTCAACGTAGAAAATATAGTAAAAAATCCTGCAACGTCGCAAACCGAGATAGACATGTCTGCAGTTTCACCGTTGAGACAGGACGTTGCAATGTAAAACACGGATTTTTTTAGAATCGATTTTTGGATCAACATGGTAATAAATTTTGCGGCAGTGTCCGCACCTCGAAAATTTTGGTCCAATTTTGGAAAAAAAAATTGGAAAATCGATTCGCAATCCCGACGGACGAAATTCGGCAGAACTTCCGAAAGCTTGGTAGACAAGATTTCGGCAATGTTGTCGAATTTCGGCAGCAGGGACCGCAAATCTCGGCAGCAGGGACCGAAAATCTCGGCTCTTGCTGTCGAAATTTTCGGGGTGTGGATATTTCCACAAAATTTTTCACCGTAGATAGGAGACTTGTTTTTTATTTTAGGACTTTTCCTTGAAAATACCCGTTTTTTTAAAGAAAAAAAACCAACCCCCGCACCGCAACCCCCATAAAAATGTGGATTCGGTTGCTTTAAGGTAATAAATGTGTTTAGTGTCTAAAAACATAAAAGTGCCAATTCGCACTCATCAACTGACGTCGAAATGAAAAAAAAACAAAAACTTTTTTTCGTCCAAACTTCAAAGGGCCTAACTCTGAAGGAAGGGGTATTCATAGGAAAACGTTATGGGGCAAGAGAGTCTTATTTTGATCCCACAAATTGATTCTGAAAATATTTGCGTTTAACTTCGGGAAATTCTAAATTTTAGGGACTCCGAATTTATATATTGTCTGTGGTGTAAACGTTCCTTTTGGAGATCGTACACTTAGATTTGCCCAATTATTGCTCATGACCAAAGAGTTTAGCCATTAGCATAGCAATCCTGCAGATCTAATCTACAAAATCGCACAGCAAAGTGCTCATTGCGACATTCATTGCTCATTTTGGGGCAAATTTTAGGGAATATTTTGCTCCACAAATTGCTCATCAATCATCGTCAGGCGAAGAGTAAAGTTGACCTTCGAACTTTACTTTTGCCTCACCCAATGAAATTTCTTGGATATTTAGTACAAGATATTTAAAATATATTGTCTCTGCTTTTTGGTGCGTGGAACATTTTCAGTAAAAGTTGCAAGCGTTTTCAGTCTCCGTGGAAAGCAGAAACTTGTATTTATTTTGTATTTGAAAGTAAATTTTGGAACAGTTTGGTAGAGAAATCTTACTAATACTCTGAGAATTCAACTGAAGTTCCCGCATTCTTTTATTATATCAACCTTTTTAAAGAAAGGAATGGGAAAGTTTTTGGTTGAAATATAACATGTTTGATTTGACTGGATTTCTTACCCAAAAATGCTTTCCTGGAATTTGACTCCACTCTCCTCCTTGTAGGAGCTTTCTTTCAAATGAGAAAGTTTCGGTGAAAAATGACGCAGGCTTTCTCCGTTATCGAGGAAAGCTGTAACTCCAAAACTGAAGTTTTTGGATACGAAACATATAATGTGTCCGAGCAGGGGAGTGTATCCAACAAACACACCTTTTTTGTGAAATATTGACCTGCCACGGGAAAAAGCGCTTCATTCCATAATTTTTAACCAAACTATTTGAGTCTAGTTGGGTAAAAAATATCACTTTTGCGTTAATAAAGTTTAGCGTGAAGTTTCCTTTATAATCCGAAGGTTCTTAACTAAAAACGTGGCGTATTTGTATTGTATATCGACGGTGAAACTTGTGTTGTTTTTGGTTAATATAAGAAATCAAACACATAAACCAACAAAAATTGTATGTTGATTTTGGTACAGTTTGCGGAGAATTAATCGCAAAAAATAATATAGAGGGTGGGAAACTGTATACGTCCGATAGAGACATTGGTATTTATCACTCGTTTTTCATTGAATTCCTTCAAGAAGACCAACTGGCATTTTTTCTTGAAATTGTCAACCGAAGGCGAGGGTCCTTTTGTGTTTTAATTCCCGTATTAACCAAACGTTTCTGTTGAAATTTCTCTCTGTGTATACCCCCTTTGTCCCTCGTGACTATCCGCTTCAATTAAGAGGATCTACCATTTTTCTCTTTGTCATCTTTGTCTATCCCTTTGTCGATCAATTTCAATGATCGACCGCTAACAATTCCACTTTTTACCTTTGCAGGTCCCTCCGCATATAAAAACCCCTATTATTTGACCCGAACGAGGAAACGTGTTTAAACGGATTCTGTATATGTAGATTAAGGACCGACGCACGGTGGACAAGTCAGTGAAAGGGGTTGGTCTTGACGAGACACTTTAAAAGCTCGTAACTTCATCAGTAAGGAATGTAGCGGTTTTTGAGTAGTTTTTTTGGTTTTCCCCTGAATTTTCCTACAAGGAGTATTCCTTAATATTCATACCGTGGCGAAATAAATACAACACTTTGAAGGTGTCAATGAAAACTTCCATGCCCAACCTCTCCAGATGGCTCTGCATGTTAGTATTATATTAGTATAAAAACATATCGACGGTGAAAGTCGGCAATCTTATAACTCGTTTGCGGTGTCTGAAAATCTCCGCCTCTACGTCATTTTTTTAAAGGAGAACAAATTGACATTATTTCTTGAAGTTTTTGCAGAATTTTCTTCGCATTGAGAAGCAAAATCATTACAGTTTTAAAGAATTTCCGTTGAGTAGTTTTCCATTTAAAAAATAAAGTATGGCAGGAAGTCTGCGACGTCGCAAACCGAGTTATGTGATTGCAGACTTACACCGTCGATATGAGCAGTGAACATGCGGTAAATTTTTAAAACATGCATATCAGAAATCAAGAACTTAAGAATATTTTTCTTCCGATTTTTCATAGAATTTTGTTCGTACTTTAATACACATTACCTGAAAATTTCATAGAAAAATATTCATAACTTTTCTCAAAAATAAACATTGTATCGAAGGAAATTTGGCAACTCTCGAATGTTCATACGGCGTTAGTCCTTAGCACGGCAGTTTGTACATATGTACCTATGTGTTTTCATTTTTCATATGTAATTTTTTTACTTTCAGTGATTTTGGACTAGAATTTACAACATTTTTTGAATCCTAAAAATGAACTGAAACTGACGATTTTCTAGTTTCTTGATTTCTGTTATGCCTTTTTTAAAAATTTACCGTATGTTCACTGCTCATATGTTTTTTATTCTAATATAATACTAATGTTTAATACTAATATTTTTTTTTTCATCCACGGAAAGGAATGCAGAGCCTGGTGGTGTGCTTTATTCGGAGATTGGGTACTTCGGAGTAGGTTCGACACCAAGAAAATACAACTTTTCAACGACTTGAGCGCGCACCGTGGTATACGCGCAATGTATGAAGTATCCTGCAGACTTGTATGGCGTTATGCTATGTCGTCAGCGCGCACCGTGCTGTACGCGCATTGCATGAAGTATCCTGCAGACTTGTAAGGCGCTATACTACGCGTCACGCGCACCGTGCCGCACGCGCAATGCATGAAGTATCCTGCGGTCTTGTAAGGCGCTACTGTGCGCCTTGCGCGCCGGCCGCAATGTGTTTGATGTGATTATTCAAACTTGCGGCGTCAGCGGTTTTGAACTTATGATTTCGAAGTTTTTGTTGAGTTTGTTATTGTCATTTCAAATGACAAAATATTACATAAAACCCAGCTAATTCGCATATTTTCAATTATATTTTTATAAATAATTTTAAAGCCTCTCCGATAATTTTTTTCTTTAATATACAGCGCACGGGTGGGGGGCAGTATAATTAAGTGCCTGCCCCTTCGTTCGCAATCGCCACCGCCGAAATTCTCTGGTCCACAAACTCCACCGGCCCTGTTCCGCCTTTCCGCAATCGCCACCATCAAAATATAAGAATCCGCAAATGCCACCGGATTCTTAGAGTCCGCAAACGTCACCGCACCGTCCGGAACGGACGCTATGTCTATATCGCCCGTAACTTTTTTTTCAGTCTGTCAATTTCAACTACCAGCCCGCATAATCACTCCAGCGGGCCGATTATTGAAACTGATAGACAAAGCGATAGACAAAGAAGACATAGGGACATGGAGCGATCCTATTGGTTATGACATGATGGGTTCCTATAGACTAATGAAGGAAATGGTGGACTAACTATCGAGTCCCTCGTGGGTTACCGCTAGTTAGTCTATTGCCTACCTCCTTTGTCCATTGCCACCACTCGCTTCCACCAATAGCATCCCTCCATATCCTTTGTGTCTTCTTTGTCTACAGCTTTGTCTCTCAGTTTCAATGATCGGCCCGCAGTTGCCGTTTGTTT